AGCATAACAAATAAAACTCAAAAAGTACATATCCTAGCATAATAAATAAATGTTACTAGTATTACACTCAAAATGTACAAATCGTTAAATCGTAGCATAAAAAATTAATGTTAAATGTACAATACTCAAAAAGTACATATATATTATCCTAGCATAACAAATAAATGTTACTGGTAAAACACTCAAAAAGTACAGATGGTAGCATCACAAATAAATGTTAAAGGTACAGAACTCAAAAGTACATATCGTTGCATAACAAATAAAGGTTAAAGGTACAACACTCAAAAAGTACATATCGTATAATCCTAGCATAACAAACAAATGTAACAGGTAAAACACTCAAAAAGTACAGATGGTAGCATTACAAATAAATGTTAAATGTACAGAATTCAAAAATTACATATCGTTGCATTACAAATAAATGTTTAAGGTACAATACTTAAAAAAGTACATATCGTAGCATAACAAATAAATGTTAATGGTAACACAACACTCAAAAAGTGCATATCGTAGCATAGCAAAAAAATAGTAAAGGTACAACACTCATAAAAGTACATATCGTAGCATAACAAATAAACACTCAAAAAGAATAGCATAATAAATAAATGTTACTGGTATTACACTCAAAAGTACAAATCGTTAAATCGTAGTATAAAAAACAAATGTTTAAGGTACAACACTCAAAAAGTACATATCGTATAATCTAACAAATAAATGTTACAGGTAAAACACTCAAAAAGTACAGATGGTAGCATTACAAATAAATGTTAAAGATACAGAACTCAAAAGTACATATCGTTGCATAACAAATAATTGTTAATGGTACATCACTCAAAAAATACATATCGTAGCTTTACAAATAGATGTTAAGGGTCCAAAACTCAAATGAACATAACAGTTGCATAATAAATAAATGTTAATTGTACAACACTCAAAAAAGTACATATCGTAGCATAACAAATAAGTGTTACATGTAGAACAACACTCAAAAAGTACATATTGTAGTATAAGAAATAAATGTTGCAGGTAGAACACTCAAAAAGTACATATCGTAGCAAAATGAATAAATGTTAGAGGTACAACACTCAAAATCAAAGGGCTGCAAGCTCTGTGGTATTTTCTGATCTTTGCAATCTTAATCATACTGACCATCTGTATGTATTTTCCAGTATAAGTTTATATTTATATACTATAATTCATCTTACACAGCGACTGCGTTTAGATTTTTTTCTATAACAGTTTGAGATTGATACATATGGAATTTTGCATGACTAGAGTTGCATCAAAAATCATTTTTCAGTTTTTATGACAGCCACACTTTATCCTTGCATATCGTGGCTACTTCCTAAAAAAAGACACTTCACAAAAAAAGTTGCCTTGACTAGTATTTGAACCTTAGGCCTCTCACATTCTAAACGAGCGCGCTACCTCTGCACCACTGTGAAGTAATACGTATGTACGAATAAAAACAAATACATTGTAATTCTAAATTGAGATTTGTAATCCTTATTAATTTCGAGGTATTTTGTTCACGATAAACCTGTTGTTTAACACTGATGAAAATAATTTAGCGAAAATCTTCTCGCCAAAACAGTCCGGCATGTATAATATTCTACTACTCGACAGTAAGATTTATTTGTGTACTACGCTCTGGAGTATTCGGTACTCGACATAGCTAAAAATAGCATTTTCATTGATTTAAATGATATTCATCCGCGAAATTTGTGATTGTAACCTCATATTTCTATTGACTAATCTAAACTTTTAATGCACTGTAATTCGTTAAATGCCTACATTAAAAATTATTCTTTCTTTTAAATTGCTGGTTTTAAGCAATTTTGAGTGAGAATTACTTTGCGTTGTTAGGTCTGTTAGGAAATTTTGTGTTAGACCGTGGATGTTAGCTTTGTATTAACTGATCTTGCGATCAGAAAATACGAAAGTTCATATTGTAGCATAACAATTAAATGTTGAAGGTACAACAATCAAAACTCGAAGCATGAAATATAAATTTTAAAAGTACAACACCCAAAAAAGTACATATAGTAGCATAATATATAAATGTTAAGGTATAACACTCAAATGTTCAAATCGTAGCATAAAAATAAATTTTAAAGGTACAGCACCCAAAAAGTACATAAAATGGCATAACAATTAAATGTTACAGGTACACCACTCAAAAAGTACATATCGTAGCAAAACAAATAAAAGTTACAGGAAGAACACTTAAAAAAGTACATATCGTTGTATAACAAATAATTAATACAGGTAAAACACTAAAAAAGTACAAATCATAGTTTAACAAATGTAACAGTTACAGCACTCAAAATAGTATGTTTCGTTGCTGGGAAAATAAATTTACAGCTGTTGCCCCAACACTCATAACAAATGCAATGCTTTGCATAAAAATGTTATAACAGGTATTACAGAAATAACATTTACAAATCCTTAAGTCATTAAAAGGTGCATCGTTTGCTTTAAAATGAAAATTTATCATAACACTTATACAAAAGTACATATTGCTGTTTCACAAACAAATTTTACATATTTATCACTTATAAATAGAGTATATATTGTTATTTTACATATAAAATGTTACGAGTGATATCGACATTAAAATACATTTTCTTTGTTGTAGAAGCAAACAATTTAAGTTTAATTCTCATAGATAAATAACATGTACATGTGTTGATACACAAATAAATGTTTTAGATGTAAAGTTAAAAAAACATTTTGTTGCCATAAAAATAATAAATATAAGAATAGCAGTCATGAATATGTATGGTGGCATATTTCTGCCACCAGATAACCTGATACCTAACTAGTTAATTAAGAGGTTAACTAGTTAAGTAACTAGTTAACCTGATACCTAAATAACTAGTTAATTAAGAGGTTAACTAGTTACGTAACTAGTTAACCTGATAACTAACTAGTTAATTAAGAGGTTAACTAGTTACGTAACTAGTTAACCTGATACCTTACTAGTTAATTAAGAGGTTAACTAGTTACGTAACTAGTTAACCTCTTAATTAACTAGTTAGTTATATGGCTATCTGGTGGCAGAAATATGCCACCATAAATATGCTTTGTTTTACAAATAAATGTTACCGGCCTTCCAGTGATAAAAAGTACACATCTTTGCTTCACAAATAAATGTTACCGGTGTTAAAGTGATAAAAAGTGCATTATTTTTTATTTATGAATAAATAATGCCGGTGTTACAGTGGTAAAAAGTACATATCTTAAATAAATATTTCCGGTGAAACAGTCATAAAAAGTACATTTATTTGATTTATAAAACATGCTGCCGGTGTTACAGTGGTAGAAAGTGCATATATTTTTGAACAAATAAATATTTTCGGTGTTAAAGTCGTAAAAAGTGCATTTATTTGATTTACAAATAAATGCTACCGGTGTTACAGTCATGAAAAGTACACATCTTTGCTTTACAAATAAATATCGTAAATATAGTTTGTTTACAAACAAAATTGACAAAACAGGCACAAAAATATCACACATAATAATTATCATAGTAGAGTTACATATAAATATTACATATTTAAAGGTACATATTCTATGTATTTTCTTTACACACTAACATCAGTTATTACAGTCATAAAAATGTCAAATGTATTACAGTAATAGAAAAAACATATATTAAATTTTGCTTTTACAAATGAATGATATAGGTGTAAAACTCCCTTCCCTCTCTTGAAAAAGTACGTTGTGTTGCTAATACATGTAGTTGTAAAACTTTGCTTCATTAATTCGTTAGAGTTACATACCTTTGTTTTTCAAATAAATTTGTAAAACTTATATGACATTCTACATGTATATTTACTTTACCAATAACTATTACAGAATTTTACAGTATTAAAGTATATTTCGCTGCTCTACAAGGCACAGCAGTTACTCATACCGTAGTTATTATCATAACTTTACAAAGAACTGTGACAGCTGTTACGTACAAATATGATTATGGGCGTATTTCTTTTTTAAATAAATGTTAAACATTCAAATACAAATGGTTTCACGTGTTTATAACTAAATTTTACAGTGTTTATTAAATATTCAAAACATACAAATTTCAAATGCATTTATAATACTAAGTCAAAAGCTTGCTATGATCACGGACTTTAATTACAAGTCAATGAAAGTCCGTGCTATGACCAAGGTATACAAAGGTTCAAGGGTATACACGATTCAAAGCATACAAGATTCAAAGCAATACAAAATTCACAATCATACAATACTGAAAAGCGTACAAAATTCAAAATCATACAATACAAAAATTCATAGCATACAATAATTCAAAGCATACATAGATCCAAAGTAGTTTCCAGTACTCGAAAGAATTCGCTATTAATTTTGTGTCAATGTTGAATACAGTTTATTTATTTTGAAAATAATTGTACGTTCTTGTTTTCGTCATCGGTGTTAAATGCTGTAATGAAATGTATAAAAAAGCTCAATCTTGCATTTTTAGTACATTTAAAATCATGCCTCTGTGTTTGAGAATCAGTGTTATTACTCACTTAATTGGGAAGATGGCTTAATTAGCCACTTGGTTTTGGAAAGAATTTTCACTAAAATTTTTATTTTGGGAAGTAAAAAAGCTGGTTTTATTTCAGATTTTTGAGAAAAAAAATTGCATAATTTTAAAGAAAATTTCCATTTGGAAGAGGCCTTTTATCACTGAAAATTATTTACTGCGTCGACAATGAAAAATTACTTTTTGACATTGTCTGTAATCAGGTGAAAATTAACAATAAAGTCAATAAGTTAAAATATGGTGTTGGATATTTATACAGACAGTTTGGGAATAAGTCTCCACATAGTACCATGAAGTGCGTACAAGTTGGCGCGTTGTAAATCTTGACAGCACGTTGCCGTTGTGTGTGGTACCGTAAAAATGGTGGATGGGATAGAGATAATCTTGAACAAAAGAGGAGAGAGTAAAATACAAACTGTAACAGATATATTAGACTTTAACATCTTACCCTTGCAAGCATTGAGTGCTCTTTGTTGTGTTGTTTGGCATTTTCTAGACGTTGGTGCTGTTTACGTAATTTCTCTTGTTCCCTTGTACTGAAATATGAAATGATTGTTTTAATTAAAAGTGGTTGTTGCGTTTTAAAGAATTATTTTAACATTGTCGGGGTTTTCTGACATGTTCGAGTGCTTTTCATGTAGTTCAATAAGTAAAATGTAATATTAAGTAAATGTAACCGACCCAGATATTCAACTATGTAGAAGATAAGTTGTAAACGAACGTCATTGGGTTTGAAAATGTGATGAAAGGCTCGGGGTAGAAAACACACTAAATATATTACAATTTTGAGTGGCTGATCAATCGTGTTGCATAGAGTGCCATTCTTCGATGCGAATTGCTAAATTACTTCACTGAAGTCAAAAAGCTCTGATGAGGCCAAAAAGCAACAAAAAAAACATTTAAATTCTAAATTCTCAAGTAAAGCACTTAAAATGAAGAAATATGTAAAGAATAATAAAGAATATAATGAGTATTAAATGGAGAATCTCATTTTTGTGCGGTTTTTTAGACCAATTTAAGTGAAAAGCGTTGCAACGTCCTTTTTTTTTTTTTTTTTTTTGGAGGGCTGGTCATTTTGCATAATGAATTTGAAAATACGGAGTGAGGGAATGCTCTGGAAATTTGTACACCAGTAAGTGATCTAGAAAAACATGAATGGTACACAAATCTCGGGAAAATAATTCCAGTCAAGTCATGTCAAAAGATCTCAGTGGAGTCCCTTTAACGCTAATTACGAAGTTTTTATTTACATAGTTTGTTTAAAACAAAATGCCAATTGCTACATGATTATTGCTGCACAAAGACGAATCTATGGTTAACCCGAGTGTAAATGCCAATTGCTAAATTGTTAGAGTGGCTAACCATACGTTTGCGTAAAATATCGAACCCCTGTTGCAAAATGAATAAAATAGTTCTTAGGGTTTTAAAATTATACGAGTGTCTCAAGAATCTATTGAAATAAACATAAATTTTGTTTGTTTGCTTTGTTTTGTTTGTTTGTTGTTTTTTATGTTATATTGTAAGTATTGGATTAATAATTAATATATTAAATAATGGTATTTTTTTCTTTTTATTATTATTATTATTTTTATTATTTTCATTATTATTATTATTATTATTTAATTCAAACTCTGAAATCAGTTTAAAACTTTACCAAATCAGACAGAAAACCAAAAAAGCCAAAATCTAAATATTCCATACATAAAGTGTTAGCGTATTTCTTTCTTTGCAGTTTCGAAACATGTATCAATTAAGTGTACATCGAATAAATTTAAAACTTATTATCATATTTAAGAAAATAACTGGAGAATCTTACATCTTTCCGGCGTTGTACTTGGCTTCACTACCTAGACTTGATCGTCTGCGCTCATACAGAACACGTGACTGGAACTGTTTCTTACGTAGTTCCTCTTGAAGCTCTAGTTTTGTCGTCCTATTAAAAGATGAAATTATATATTAACCCGATTGTTTTTAAGTTACCTTAAAAAGATAACCATAAGTTTAGTTCTTTTATTTTGTTTGTTTTGGTTTTTTTTCTGTTTTTTTTTTTATTTTTTGGGGGGTGGGGGGGGGGTTATCGACAAGTATAAAAAAATCGTAACAATTTCAAACATGCTAATTGCACCCGAATCCCTTTATAAAGAAGTTAGGAATACGTGTTTTCTCGAAGCTTCGACACATACAAACACCTGGAAATAGCTGACTTCACGGTCTGTTATTTTGTTTGAAATACACCATGTTTATGTTTTTCACCTTTTACTAACAATCCGACGTGCACTAATTCCTGCCTATAACACTCGTAAGAGGGGTTGGCAGTATCTAGAGAGATATATAGATAAAATTTTCACTCATGTCACAGGCCGAAATCGTTTGTAATTATTGTATGATACGAGCACCACACTTAATGTTTATCGTAATCCGCTAGGCCCTATATTCAAGACAAGGCGCTTGAATGATTTTATGCAAGCTAAAATCTCGCCATTTCATCTGCCGAAACGCTAATTCATCTCTTCACACCAACTTATATACGATAATGAATGAAAAATGTAAAAATTGCGAAAGAAAGGCGATATTTTTCTACTTTTTGATCATGATTTCTGCCAGCGCCTAGAAAGGTGCTGCTCCAACAATGTACAAAGTGTTTTAATTCTTAAAAGTTAATCTAGATTTTGAAGATGGCAACTTACATAATGAAATCAAGCTTATCTCATCTTCTCTATCGGAAGATCTGTAAATAGAAATAGATCTAGAAATCAAGATGGCAGTTTTAATTTTAGAAATACGCACATGTATACAGTAGTAGATATACAAAAAAACTTTCAGCTTTTAGATATAAAATTTAGATCCTATCAAATTACAGATTCTAATGTTCTAGGCCTTATATATGAGGTTATTGCTGGTCTAAAAGAGAGGGCTCTAGCTGTTCTAACCAAACACTTTAAATAGATCTAGATCTACTTTAGAGGAGCCATCTCTATGTACAGTAGAGAAGCATACAACATATTAAGTTGAGAACGAACTAAACACTAAAATCTAATAATCCTCCCATCTTGAAATATAATCTAGCTCAAAAGAAAATAAACGAACGTCTTACTCTAGACTTACAATTCAAAAAATCTTACCTCTCATGTTAGAAGATCGCCCCGACATAAACGCGGGAATGCCAGTGGCAACGCTGCACAAAAAACCGTTACGTCATAGGAGAACGTCATGACGTCATTAATTTTAAATCTTCTTGAAATCAGCAGACATTTTCACAAAAAATCTTACGACAATTTTTTATCGTACGAGAAATCTTACGATAAATCTTCTTTTCACAAAAAATCTTAAGAAAATCTTAAGTGTAAAATCTGTCGTAGCTTTACGATACAGTAGGTGTTTCCCATTCGTAAGTGTAATTTTTTCTCTCTTCAGGGTAAAATATCATGTATCTCTTACCTAAACTGAATAAAAACAAACAAAAAATTGGGGGACAAATATATATTATACAAACGGTATGTTATAAATTACACAAATTAAGGTATAATTATTTTTCAACATCAACATTTGTGACGTCATGATATGATGACGTCACGATGGAGAGGGTTATGAATAGTTTAAATGTGAACTATACTGTAGTATTATTTGTACAATTTCGATCATGTACTAGCGGCACCTTTTTATTTATTAATACCTTAGCAATAACGTAGCTGAATCACTTTGATTTCAATCAAGATAGAAAATATATCATTTTCAATCAAGATAGAAAATAGATCTATATTAGTTTGAATCATTTTTGGTCCTTATTGAAATTTGATTATGTTCAATACATATTTCAAGCTCTTTATTAGATCTACTTGATTTTAAAACCGGAATCAAATAAAGAGCACGCACATCAATATCAAATGAACGTTGCTAGGTTTTATTATCGTAAGATTTATCGTAACTGAATTTTAACTTACGAGTGGCTTTGTGAAAATGACTTAAGATTTAACTTAAGATTATCGTAAGTCAAAAACTTAAGATAAATCGTAAGATTTTTTGTGAAAATGTCTGCAGTATTTTATTTCGTTAAAGTAGATCTAGCAGTGATATAATAACGGTTTGGATATTGTTTTGTTTTGATTTTAGCTCTAGACAGTGGACTAGACCTCTATGAGTTTGTTCTTTGAGAATTAAGAAAATTGCAATATTTTACACGACTGCCTGCGTATGATCGATGGAGTTTTAACACACCGACTACCACAGGCACTCGACACAATTAATTTAGATCTACCCATATACGCTCATAGTACTATATATAAAGAATATTCTTTATATATAGTATTATGAGCGTATATGGGTAAATTAATTGTGTCTAGTGCCTGTGCCGTCTACTGCAGTACAGTTGAACTAGATATATAGATTCTAGATCTAGTTTTCAAAGAAATACAAGTTAATTGCATTTAATTTTCAGATTCATAAGCCAATAAGATCACCTTTTTGTTTTCTCTCTATTTTATCTAGATCTATATCTCTAGAGATCTTGAAACAGAACAATCTCCATCCAATGATATCCTCTACATTCTTCGCCATCAACGTGCCCATAAAAATGTTCGTCATTTTTTTTATAAATATGGCAAGCAGTATACAGTTATTTCGTGGATGTTCGTGAAACAGTCAAAACTGTTGCCACGACATTTGGAACTGTTGCCAAAGGTCGAAGGCAACAATTCCAAATGTCATCCCTGATAGATCTACCTCGGGGCAACAGTTTTTGACAGTTCCACACATGAAATAACTGTAGATCTATTATACTTTTACTAATAACATTTGTACAACTGAATCCTACAGACGTTTGATTTTCTAAAAATTCAATTAATAACCGAAAAGTAGCGGACGGCGTTAACGGAAATACCTGATGACAGGGGTGTAACCGTTCAATATGTTGACCGGTCAACAGTTCATTTTAATTATCATTGCGCATGCCAAGGACTTTGAGAACAGCGGTTCAATTAAACAGTTGTAAATATGGAATTAGTATTTATAGATAAAAATATTCAATAAATTCATGCCTGGTTAATGTTTCGGAGGTAGCACAATAAATTCCCCCATCGCTACTTCTGAGCTAGTACAGTAAGTGCATGTCGCCAAATTTTCATGTCAAAGATTATATATAGATCTTGTGCTGTCTTGATTAGATAGCTCGATATATTTTTGTAAACTCTGCATCAAAAGTCAAGGTAATATAGTGATGTCTTATTAAATCTATGTAATAGAAAGAGATTCGAAACACGAGGCTATCTGATTTGTACGAGGCTACGCCCCCCCCCCCCCCCCGAGTATTAATCAGATTGCCGAGTGTTTGATGTTCTTTCTCTTTTGAATCATAGTCAAACATAAAAACACGTTCCCTGTTGTCACAATATGAAACCCTGGGAAAAAGTAACCAATGAACGAGCATCTGAATATCACATTTCTGTCGCTTTCCAAAGCTCTTCCGTCACAATATGTAAACCCCAGCAAAAATGAGCCAATCAATGGGCATGCTCTGGAGTGCGGGTAACTAATACCTGCACTCCAGTTAACGCACTGTGCATGTATATGTATACGATTTAACTGTGACACATTTTCAACAGAAAGGTCCCCAAACTATGATACAAATTATTTTTGTATTATGTGCTCAAATGTCGAAAATCGGAGTATGCTTTGCCATGTAGATCAAGATTTGATTTTTAAGTTTCACAGTCTAATATGCAGGAAATATTTGAGCCGCGTCACGACAAAACCAACATAGTGCGTTTGCGACCAGCATGGATCCATCAGGATCCATGCTGTTCGCTGTCAGTTTCTTCACTAAGCGAACAGCATGGATCCTGATCAGACTGCGCGGATGCGCAGGCTGGTCTGGATCCATGCTGGTCGCAAACCCACTATGTTGGTTTTGTCGTGACGCGGCTCATTTGTCCAAACCTTGCTTGGTGTAGATCTGCCTGGTATCAGTTCCAATGAGCGTGACTTTGTTATCAATTCCAACAATTTACTCTATATAGCAGAGTATTGGCAATATAGCCTACTACACGGTCATTGAAATACAACTCAATACCAAGATTTCTATACATGTTTTTATTCTAAATATATACCAAAAACTACCAAGTAAAATACAAAAGACTTTAACATATAGAAAAATAGAGAAAACAAAAAAAATGTTACAGTGAATGCAAGTTTGCAACTACAACTCTTTCAACCGTTCCACTGCTGAATTTGTGTGTGATGGATTTGCCCTGCTTTGAATTTGAAACAGTCCATTTAAAGTCTAAGGATATTCAATATCCAAATAAATTTATAAATCCCTCACTTGTCTAGTTCCAATTATCAGATATGTGGACTTCAATAAGAATTTCACCACAACCTATTTGTTTATAAAAGAGCACACGTATGCCAATGTTTGTGGTTAAATCTTTGGTTATTAAAGTTAAAGGTCAGAGCAGGGGCTACTAACAGTATAAAGCCTGTTCAGACTACACGGATGTGCAGGCTCGCCTGCTCTATACTGGTGGGAAAATGCTTATCACTTTCAGTTCCAGCAGGTAAAGGGTTAAAAAAATTGTCTATGATACAATTCACAACTTTCTGACAATCTCATTGGTAAAATACAAAAAATATCATCCTATTATTTTCTGTTTGACAGATGAAAAGAAATTGCACACTTAAAGGCTTGATTTCTATGATTATTAAAAATTTGCAATGATTTTCACATTAAATCATAAACACTAAACAACAACAAGGTTATATTTTCACAATAGCACAATAAAAAAACTTCATTTTATTTTATTTTTTTGTTTCTATCGGCAATAAAAAGATTATGGGAAGACATTGAATATAACTTGATGAAGACTTAAGACAAAGATGTTGTTAAGCTATAGAATCAAAATTCAATCAAGAAAAAGTGTTTGTACATGTATATAATAAATCTACATGGCACAAGTGCGTGTTGTCTAGCACACACAAACACCTACCTTACCCCTAAACTTATAATAAACTTATAATACTGCACGTTTGAAACGTTGCTGTCAATTCATGAAGAAATCTGACTTTTCTTCCTAAAAAAGAAAGTTTGCAGTATGATAAAATCATTATAAATATTCCTGACAGGTTATATGGCCTAGCCGCTCGATATATATTTGCAAACAACCATTTATATTATTACATGTAGTTATAAAGATCGTTGACTGATTATATGGCCCTATATAAACGGCTATTTGTAAATATAACCCGAGCCGTTAGGCGAGGGTTATATTGCAAACAGCCGTTTATATACGGTCATATAACCTGTCAACAATCTTTATAACGAATTTATAATACAGCAAGCATCATTTTTAGAGAAAAAAAGTAAGATTTCTTCATGAATCGACAGCAGCCTTGTATATAAAACTATATAAACGTCACGATTATCCAATGAAAAATGACGCTACAAACGTGCAGTATTATAAAGACATATAACCTGTCAATTTTTTTAACTAATAATTTAAGAAGGTATGAAGGTGATATTTGACATAGGGCACCAGTGATACATTGAAATGGCAAAACTGAGTTCTACATGTAGTATTGCCTTAATATAATTAAAATTATGGCAACCAGATTTTCAAAAAAAAATATTTTAATGAGTATGAGTGATACATGTGTGGGTTAATTATTGCATTATATTTATACATGTATATGGACATATAAAAACACAAGTATAAAAATAACAACAAAACCATTTTCAAAGACGAGTACACACACTTACAGAAAAAATGTTACCATTAAAGAAGAAAAGAAAAAAGTCTTTGAGATCAGTAACTACACACTTACATAAACCGTAATATTTTGAACACATATTATTTTTTTCTCCTTGTTTTTTTTTTTAAAGTATTTTTAAGTCAATGTATACAAAAACAACATTAGGCAACAGAAATCTAAAATCCAGACAGCCCCAAAAAAACATACACCAAATATTGCAAAATAATCATAATTATTGCATTAATATAGCATGAAATAGTCTGCCTCTTATCATTGCGTGCATAGGTTCAACAGCCTTTTGTAAATTGTGGAATTTTTATTTTCTTGGGTTTAAAGTCAAACTGGGGTTATATGGCAACTTTCCTGCTTTACTGGTGGAGCAAGTCCTCACATGTTCCGCTCTGTGCATTATTTCAGATATAAGCGAGTACCATAGCAGAACCACCTACATTCTATAACCTAGCTGGAC